GGAGGTCTATTTTCATTAAGTCAAATTGTTCATTGAATGCGGAACCTTTGTGTGCCATCCTGTTGACACTTTGGTTTTTGCTGAACTGTCACACATTGCTGCAATAATTGTACATTTCTGATCAGCAGCTGTGATTTTATTATTATTTTATGATCTTCAGTTTTCCTTCTTTTGTTCAGGATGTGAAAAGTGAAAGTATTACCTTTTCATTCTGATCACAGGGTTGGGTGACGCAGATGAAAATGCAAACATTCTGGCAATACTGATAGTTACTGATGATCTATAATTACCTTTAAACAAAAAAATAAAACAAGAGCAGGAAATGCTTCATTATCAAGGGGTATGATCAGCTGTTAGTAAACTAGAGAGGGAACACGTTCAGGTTCATGCAGATGAAACGTTGCGTTGCTGTTGTATGCTCTGTATGCTTGTGGGTTGAATCTAAAGTATGTAGGTAAATCTATCAAACATTCTATTGAGAATTTTCTTAGGCCTATCCGACAAATGTTCTTTTATCTGTGTTGTACAGATGTGAGCTTTTGTGTGCCATTAATGCATTGAATTACGTATGCAAAGTGTAGCTCTGTATTTGATCGTAAAGGCTTTTTTTTTTCTACCAGGGCAAACACTGCCTGCTGGAGGCTGAGCTGAGCTGTGTCAAGGACCTCCTGCGGAGAGAAATCTACCCGATCATCATCTACGTCAAGATCTGTGAGAAAAATGTCAAGAAGTTACGGTAGGCCCAACAAATGTCACTTATTCCAACAATTTATCCCGTTAGTCATCCCACACGGCTGCACACCACACTTCATGTTACAAATGCGAATACATGTCAGTCCTTGCATGAGATTATGTTTTGACTCCAGGCAGGAAATGAGACCGAGCCAATCAAAGCATCATTGTTTGAGGTTGTTATGTACTTGAACTTGTGATAGGGTTAGATGAACAAGAGCTTGTTCTATCAGTGGAGACACACTCTATTGTTTCCCCTGGGTGTCATCGTGGTAATTGTTGGTGCAAGTTGAGTGTCAACAAACCCTGATGCTTGATGTAGCTTATGATGGATTAGGCTTTACTCATCCAGTTTGTGAACCCATTATTGCCGGAGTAATCTTTCTGAGAATTACACTGAAGCAAGCAGACCACCGCTGCAGGGTGGGATCACATCCTGCAAACATTACAACACTCACCGCTGCAGCGCTGCTTCCTTCCTGCTTTGCGTCCACACAGAAAGTTGAATCTGCGCTTGGAGTCGGAGGAGGAGTTTGTGAAGCTGTGCCGGGCCAAAGAGAAGGAGCTGGAGGGCATCCCCTGCCTCTATGCCACCCTGGAGCCCGAGGCCTGGGCAGGGACGGACGACCTCATCAAGGTCATCAAAGACCGAATACTGGAGGAGCAGAGGAAGATGGTGTGGGTGGAACAGGACCTCCTGTAGACAGACGTAGACGACAGTTAGTACATGGACATACATGTGTAGCTAAGCACAATGAAGCACATCATACATCATGTACATCGTGCTTTCATGCTTTTATATTTATGCTCAGACTTAAAACTCACCTGTGGACCCTGGAATTGTTTAAATAAATGCATTATGTATTTTGTAAATGTGTGTCCTTGATTTAAAAAAATAAACAGACTGAAAGGATCAAAAATTATACTTTCTTTTCTTAAGAGATGTGTTCTTTGAGGTGTGTTTTCAGTTACAGTACAATCCTATTTAATCAAGATTACAGGGCCCTCTAGTGGCCGATGTCAGCTTTTTCACACTGAAGTCACAACCATCCATCCATGAGCTGGATCAAGTTGCAACAAGATATTCAGATATGGAAATCTTTGTTGAAATACCTTTGTTTATTTCTGGAACACGTGAGTTAGAATTTATAAAAGGACTTTTATCATTTACCCTCAGTGTGGATTGGCTTGTAACCAATCAGATAGAGCTGTGAGCAGAACATTGTTCGAGATCTCAAAGTAGGCTCATCTCACTTCACTAATTTTTAACTTCCTCGTGTCCTCTGTCCTCCTGCCTGTGACCCAGAAATGAATCTGGGTGCACCATTACAAAGGACGTCTCGATTCCTAACATCGAGGACAGAGGATCGAGGATCAGGGAGGAGGAGCTGTGAGAGAAATCATAAAATACAGTGGGTGGTTATTACAAAACAACAGATGATGCAGCTGTGTCTCATGTCACATTTAATTAACATCGCTTTAAAACAACGGCTCCGAAATCAGGATGTCACATTTTGTTAAATGCCTGTAGCCTCGACTCCTCGACTCCAAGGAAAGAAAAGGGGGATGTACAATTAGTGAAATGAGATGAAGGAATGACAACAGATAGACAACAAGTGAAGCATTTTTAAACATATGTATTTTGTCGGGGATTGGTTGAAAACACAGCAATACAGATAACTGGGAAAATCTGTCGTCCAGTATTTTAAACAACCGATCAGTAAAGCAAATGCAGCCTTTTAGCTAAAACATGGCTTCGAATTGCAGATTTCAGTGATCCTGTAATATGATTTTAAGCTTAGATTTGGTTAATTTTTATCCAGCAGAACCAGACTGGATACATGATTAATTAAAGGACCACTAGAAAATTTTAAAAAAAATCCATTGATTCCTTCTGCTCTTGCAGTTTCTGGCTGATAAATGATGTGACTGGAAGATGACTTTCAAACCCGCTGGCAGGTATTAGGATTCAAGGGCTACATGCCTCATCAACTATGGGAGTGATTGTAAATTGTGCCTTTGATTTCTCAAACACTTTGCACTAAAAATGCAAATTCCAATTTATTTTATTTTTTTTTAAATTTCATACATGAATCCTGAATGACTAGAACCGTCTCCGGTCAATTAGCTCGATAACCTTGCAAAGTAAAATCCTGAAACCCACTCTGGTGCATCGATCCATGTAAAAAGATCTCCTCTGCTTATCTGCGACTGAGTGAACCTGCTTCGGTCACGATGCTTCCTGCAGCTTACAAATCAGTGTTTTGACAGTATTTTTTTTTTTTTTCAATGGCCAAATGAGGGCTTAGTCTGTGACAAAAATGGTCTGGCCAGAAGGGGATTTAGAGCAACCTCGTTCATATTGGCGCAAGATAATCTCCTCATCAGAGCAAAAAGGCACACACACACACACACACACACACACACACACACACACACACACACACACACAATGCTTCAAAAGGACTCATATCAGTCACATACTGCAAATAAGAAACTGTGTCGCTTCCCTGCATTCTGGTTCCAGTTTTGAAAAGTCAGAAACATTAAAAAAAAA